TCCGCAGTAGTGACATCTACTGTTGCATTTCCAATTACTCTTGAAACATAAACACTGATTTTTGCTAGGTTTGCGTGAAACCCCACCCGATAAATTGTAAAACTTTTTTAAGGAATTCGCTTAAAGATATTAGAGTTGTATCAGGATTATATAAAGTCGAATTTTGAGCGCTTTTTAAGGAGAGCTCATCTCTAGCAAACCACCTGTTCAGACGTCCATTTGTCGTGCCTATTTGATACACTGATTACCGTGCAGTATTGTCCCAAAAACATTTTTTGGGTCAAGAGGACCTCGGTCCACCATGGGTACTGCAATGGTGATGTGTTTTCCCACATGGAGAAAAGAAAAAAGTAACCATTGATACAAAAAATACTTATACCCACTTAAAAATACACTGTCAATTTACTATTTGAAATTATACAATTTCTAATAAAACCTCACGAATTACAACAGTAATAGTTACTTTTGTCACCTCAATGAGTTGTGCTAGGAACTATATTGAGCAATATTTTGCACATTAGTAGTACATTATAGACCAGGCGGAGAGGGCACATTTTATCGTCAAGTATACATTTCACTATCGATGCGATAGCCGAGGCAAAATATTGCGTCCGAGGTAAGCATTCTGTCACATTATTTTTAGGTTAGGATTAACTGACATGATGACATTTAGCTTCAATTATGTACGAAATAAAAATAATATTTTAACTTTATACCTACTGGTATTAATATTAATTATGAATGATATAATAAAATTATTGTACGCTCGAAAAAGAATATGATTTAGAATAGTATATTGAATGGAACACTGTTCTGCGCATCAATAGTTTTTGTTGTTTTTTTGTACAGATATTTTTTCCCATTTTTTATGTTTTTTTGTCTCCCCTCTTTTCGAGTAAAATTTTCATAATTTTATAAATGCGTTGTACCTTTTAATAATTATTTTTATTTTACCACAAAGAGGCGGTGAGCGCGCGCTTATAAATCCGTTTTTTAATATTAACTTGCTAGCATTATAAAATTTAAATGTAAAAAAACAGATTTATCCACACGTGGGTTGTCCATTAGGGTGGAGCAAAAAACATCCAAATTTGTTTTTTCCTTAAATTAAAATAGCCTTAGTTTGGAAAAGTTGCGTATTATAATCTCGATTACAGATGTGAAAGCTTTTTTGAAATTAAAAAATATTTAGAGGGTCCGCAGGGCAATCACATTTGTAAATATTCGCGTTTTTATTATATAATATCAAATTTTCAAAACATTATTAATTGTTTTAATTTGAATATACTAGCTTTAAGTATACAGATATAAAACATTTTTGTTTTTTTGCTCTTAAAACAGATATAGTAAATTTAGTAATTCTTTATTTTAAACGTATAGTAATGAGCAACTTTTGGCACGTAATCTGTAAAGCAAGAAAAAAAAATATTTTGCTTACCCTATTGAAAAAAAACATATTTTTCAAATTATATGCCATTTTTTGTTTCACATGCGGACCCTGAAGATGATCAAATATTTTTTTTTTATTTTTAAACTGTATACTAATGCGCAACTTTTGGCGCGTAAAGTGTAATTCAAATCAAAAAAAATATTTTTCGCTCCACCCTATTGTCCATACCTGCTTTGTTGCATATATCTAGTAGGTAATAAATAAGTAAAGAATAATGAGTTAGTTAAAATTACAGAAAACATAACTTTTATGGACATTATTACTATTTAATAATTTGGCTTTTACTTGATCGGCCAGTTTAAAAAATGGCTGAAAACAGCCGAATTGTAAAATAATGCAGAATGAACGACGATTTTAGAATGTGTTCGCGTTTTATAAAGTTTCAAGCCATTTGATAAAACGACGAATTTTTTAAGTTAATAATTTAAGTAAACATTATTATTTTTGTTTCGCCCTCTATATGTTTAAATAATATTAATATTTACAGTATACTTTTTTATAAAAAAAAACAAGTGATAAATAATAATAACACAGGGGAACACAAAAAACGATGCCGGAGGTTTTGTTTATGCTGGTTCAGCTCTTATTAATTAGATATAGTGGGTTAGCTGACAAGGTTTTTGGATTATAATGTTTTAATAAATTAATAAATTTTCGTTAGACCCTTCAACCATATAACACTGAACGCGTAAACAAATTTTTTGGTTTCAACATGTATTTTGACAGCTGCTGGGTGTTTTGTATTGTTTTGAGTCGTTTTTATACGAAAACAACTTTAAATGGTAAAAAGGTGCATAGTTGTGGTAATAAAATACAGCGTAAATGCATTAGAAACCCGTACATTTACCTTTTAGTCATTGGCGGTCCGTGCAATTTTGCCGACATGTAGGTACTTTATTTTACTTTTAATTAAAAATTATATTAGTCAATATTATATACAATTTTGAAAGTATAAATTTAAATTTTAATAATCTATAACAATTGTAATACTTAAGTATTCATACTTTCTTAATTTTTCCCTTGAAAATGCTAAGCCACTATACTGTACGCACTTAGCGCGTCCAGTGTTAAGCCCGGTGCACAATATCCCGGTAAGGGGAACGGAAATCTGAACAGTAAAGGTGGGAAAGACTAAGCAACCACTTTTGATTGATGGTGTTTGCTGAGTTTCTCTCACCTTTACCGTTCAGGTTACCGTTACCGTTCTCATTACCGGGCTGTTGTGCAGAGGGCTTTAAACCGAACAATACATCTTAAGCCCCTGGCCTCCGGCCGTGTTTCTAAGTGTTAATCAAAATTAAACTTTTATTTTACATACATATCTGTATAGGAATAGAATATACCTATACATATACCGTATAGTATCTATTGATACTATGTATAGTATCTATAGATACTAGTAATTTACTATATAAGTAAAAAATAGTAAAAAACATATAAGTGTTTCACCAATGAATACTTTTATGTTTCTATTAAAATACAAGTACAGACCCTTAAAAAGCATGAATTATCGTTTATTACTGGCCTAATATAATTTTGTTAAATGACGAGATCAAACCAACTAAAATTAATACTAGTATTCCTGTTATGTATCGTTTTAACACTTTTTATGGGGTAGTAATAATATTAAGTACATTTAGACTAGAGAAATCAGAAAACAAAAATAAATGCAACAAATTAAATAAATAAATTATAGTCTTATAGTATACTAGGATTTATATAGAGTGTCCCACAACTCAGAGAATATAAGCGTCCGATTTAAATATAGTAAAATAAATTTGATTTATATTACAATTACATAGACTACAAACTCACTATCACTAAATATTAGGTTTTGTTGTTAATTTTTAGCATAATTTTTATGATCTGTTACAGATCTGTGTATTTCTAGAAGTTTCCTAAGGTGTGGTATACCCTGTATAAGACATTAAATAACTAACAAACTAACAAATATCCTTACATTTTCATTAAGAATAAGCAACATACATAGTTGAAATAAAAGTATTGCTTTAGTTTAATTTAACAACAAATAAATTTTATTTATAATAATAATAATATTAAATTTTAACACTCTACTTGCTGCCTATTCTTAATTATTTCAGTGGACAGACCAAAAACATTAAACAATTTTTTAAGTAAATTAAAGGTAATTATTAATTACAAAAAAATAACAAATTAGTACCTTAAATTATAATTTGGCATAAATATTAAAAATATAAAAATAAAATCACAGTATTCCATCCAGTATTATTTAAAAACCTTTTTTCAACAACTTAAAAAAAAGACAATAATGACTTAATTATAATACGAATTTAAATTTTGTTGTATTTAATTTTACGGATTAATTAAAAATTTTAGTTCATGGATGACAAAAAAGCAAAGCCGTACCCAATTCATTTTTTTTTAAATAAGCCATGTTTACAAAATACATGTAAAATTAAACAAAAATACTGCAATTCTATTACGCTGTACTGATTACAGAACATAATTTTCTCTCAGCGTGTCCTTTAAAATGTGATTAAATAATTTTAAATAACGCATTTTTGTGTTAGAATATATTATACAGGGTGTCTCAATTAAAACGAATGAGCCAAGTTTTTGTGACGTATAATTTAAAATATAAAAATGCTGGTATGCTGGTAATTTATTTTCTTGTGCAATATAATATAATATATATATATATATCTACCTAATATTATATAAATATATAGGTATAATATTTACTTTTTTTCTTATTAATAACGATTTAAGTTTATATGACTTTGTTTTCTTATTAATAACTTAAGCTGATTTTTTATAAATGTACTTTTATCCCATTTTTTTTAAGAAACAAGATTTACTTTATTTTATTTACGTATTAAACCACTGAATTAATTTATTCAATCCTGAACAAATAATAAAAACATTTAAATTCAAATTATAATTTTGGGGTAAATACTATCAACTATTGCTATAAACTTTAGGCACGAAACAAGGTTTTTGCCTTTTCAGTAAAAAAAATTAACAGAATTTTAATGTAGCATTTTGCCATAACATACCTATATTAATTAATTTTACTAACAAAATATACAGACCATAAACCGCAACCCCCTTCAAACTAACCAGGTTACAGCCTAGCAAGAAAGCTCTCATATCAAAATAATTATTTTTTTTGTATTCCACTACTACTTGAACCAAAAAACCTGTATTAACAGCTGTTAAAAGTTCATCAAAACCACGAATAATTGTTAATTTTTGAGTCGAAAAGAAATACAATGACCGTGCATGCCAAAAGCAAATCAGATATTTTTTATTTAAAACATTTCTTTCTATAATTTCAAGTTAATTTTTAACCTAACAAGATAAAATAGGAATATTAAAAAATGACATATATTCTTAATTACTTGAGCTTTTTGGTAAACCCGTCTGCACGAAACAATATACAATTGTCTTTAAATTGTAAAAAGGGGTATTTTTGACTTTACAGTATTATAAAAGATTAACTGATTTGTATAAGTGCAGGTCAGTATATAAAAAATTAAATTAAGTAAAAATTGTAATTATTTTTGGACTAGAAATATGAGTAGGTTAAACTGCAAATTACTTAATATTTTACATACTATTAAGATAAAAACTTAGTAATAAATTATTTAAATAAATATAATACATAACAACATTTGTGTTTTTCTTAAATAAAAGTAAGGTTATTTTAACTGTTGTATGCCATCTTGTTCATACCTTGAATGAGTTCTCATATGTCTTGTAATCATGTCTCGCCTGCAAGCAGCGTACGGACACTGTGGGCATTTATATGGCTTTTCTCCAGTATGTGTTCTTTGATGAGTAGATAAATGATCAGAACGTGAAAAAACTTGCCCGCAAACACGACATGCGTATGGTTTAACACCAGTATGTAACCTCATATGTCTTGTAAGCATATCACTTCGAGCAAATGAACGATTGCAAACTTCGCATAAATAGGCTTTTACTGTGGAATCACAAGCACTTTGACGACTTTTATGCCTAGAAGCAATATGTTTTGCCAATCGATCATGTAAACTAAACATTTGACCACAAACATGACATACATAGCCAACATCTGAACCAGGTGGCATTTCTTCTACAACAGGACATACTTCCAAATTATATTTAGATTCTATAGATTTTTTAGTCGTAGGAGAAACAAGATTTCCTTTTATTATCGGTACAGATACTACATTAAGTTGGGGGCTTAACAAAGTTGATATAAGCTGGAGGGATGAAGGAACTTTATTTTTGAGTTGTTCTGGGATATTATTTAAATTTTTTACTGACAAATCTAGAGGAAATTCTTGGAATGCTGTGGAATGGCAATCTTCTCTTGACTTTTCTTCACAAACCCAACTAAAAAAGTTATTATTTTTTTTCAACATGGATACCTCCATAGTTAAATTAGATTTCGAATGACTTTGTTTTTTATTTAAATTTGATTCATTTTGACAATCACTGCGTTCTTTAAAATTAAATGATGAAGGTAATAATAAATGAGATGCCGATGCACCTGACATAATTGTGTTGTATACGTTTAACAAATTAAGATTCTTCTTAGGACTATTCAGGCACTGATAACAAAAACACTCAGCAGAACGTTGAACTGATAAAGGTAAACTACAACTTACATCATCTTTACATTTAAATATGCTAGAACATTTTTCAGTAGATTCGTTCAAACTATATAATGATTTATTACTAGAACTTGCAGGACTAAAAACATCTTCATCTTCACTGATTACGGAATTCGGGTCTCTTAACAATTGAAATTCCTTCGTATGAAGTACTTCAAAATTATTCAATTCTATTTTTTTATATTTATTAGGTTCTTCTTTCGTATGATTATTGTTCAAACAGCTTTCTTTTTCTAAAATTGCTTTTTTTTCTTGAATAATATTTCCTCCGGTTAGTATATCCAATACCTGACTAAGCCTTTTCCTTTTTCGATGTTTTCCCAGAGGTTTTTGGTTTTGATTGTTTATTAAGTGGTGATTATTGTTTATTTTATCTGGAGTGGAATCCATTGAAGCCGAACATGTATCTTCTGCCATAGTCATTGGTTTGGGGCGGCAAAGGGCCGCGGAACCTCTCTTTTTATATAACTAATTGCCTTTTGTACCTATTAATAGGGGATCTGTAAAATAAATAAATGATTAATGATTAAAATTGGTAATAAAACATTTTTAATTTTACTATTTATTAATTTTATAAACATTATGACTGAAAGTTCAAAATAAAAAAATATATTTTGGTTTAAAAATACTGTTTATATTTAAAAAAATGTTCTTAAGTGTAAATTGTTGCAAAATAGTATGAATGTATATTTTTATTGTTTTGCCGTTAAGTGTAAAGTAGGAGTAGTCTTAATAAATGGTTTTACTTTCATTTTAAACCCAAGCCATATCATTTTAAACAAATTATAGAGTAGAGCACGAACCTTACACCATCATAGTACTAGACCATTTGTTTCGGTCTTTGCAAAACTCTGGCAAAAGCTGGCTTAATCAAAGCCTGTGAAAATCACTTGGTTAAGTTCTTTACCAATGACCCAAAAATTGACAAAAGATACATAAAGATATATAAAATTTAAAAAAAAATTCTCATTTAGGTAACATTAATTTATTTATTTTTTAGGAAGGAAAATTTGATACTCAATTGAATCTCAAGTCAGACAGTAACCATTTCATAGTAATTTAATCGTAAAAGAATCGAAAATTTGTGTCGTCATTTAAAAGATAATTAGTAAAATGTATTTTTATTTATTTTCTTTTAAGGTCGCATAATATATCGTATAAGCATAAACTTTTAATATGTAGTTTTTCACGGACCTGTTTTACTTGAACAGGTAGACATTATTCTACCGCGGCAGCAACAGTAGTACTGCCCATTAAATTGTAATTACATCCCACAATGCTATTGGTAGCCGAGGCACCTGCAAAGCCAGAAGCTGCCACTACATTTCAAAATAAGTAAGAAATTCATATTATGTCTAAAAATATTATATAATAAAACAAATTTAAAACTTAATTTAAAACCCTGTCAAAAGTAGGAAAAAAAGTTGTTTTATTGAAAGAAAAAAAAATAAAATGTTCTATATGTTAATTAATAAACTTATTTGTTTGTTATGTTATCTAAAAATACAATTTTATTAAAATAGGCGTAAATTATCAATTGAACTATGAGCTATATTATAATTTTTAATTTTTTTATTTGAATTCCATATATTGTTTATTTAAAGAATACTTAAAATTCCATTGTATTTAATTTTGCGCTTGTTGTAAAGGTGCCTCTTAATAAATAATAGGTATACTTAGAGATGCGACTTGAAAAAAAACGGTCCGTTTTTTTGTTTTTTTTCAGGTTTTTTTTCATTGTTTTTTTTGAAATGGTTTTTTTTTCACATTTTAGGTTTTTTTTTCAAGATTAGTCCCATTTGCCTAATTTTTTAGGTTTCATGGACTAAAATTAGCCACTAAATGACAATTAGTAAATGTAAATACAGTCTCGCGCTATGCACGCGCCACCACCACCGAATTGACCAATAAGGGCCGCGCTTGTTTTGATTTGGTCCTAAAAAAAGTAACTACATATAATATTTTTGATTTAGCGCTTGATTTTTCAAAAAGCTACCAAAAGCACTTTTTCCATGATTTTTCAAATTCATGTAGAGTATGGAACTTTTTTTTTTCAAAAAATCAATAGCAAATTCTTGTAGAACATTTATTCATTGGTGGTAAAGTCAGAACATTCCGTGGACCAGAAAGCCAAAAAAATCGATTTTTTTTATTACGGTATTTGTTAGGATTGAGCGTTGCACATTTTTCATCTAAAAATCTCAAAACTAGAAACGTCAAGCTTCAAATTGCTTTTTTTACGGCTCCAATACGACCATTTTTAACAAAGATACAGCTATCCGAAGAATCGCATAACAATTTTTTTTATCCTTTAATGAAAAATTTAATATATTCTACATTTCACTTTATTATTAATATATATTTTACTCAAAATTTCATTTTGAAAAAAACAAAAAAAAACCGTTTTTTTTTAGGTTTTTTTTCATGTTTTTTTTTCACATCTAAAAAAACCGTTTTTTTACATCTCTTTATTTCAAGTACAACTGGTTATGTTGTACTTGAAATAAAATTGGTTCCAGGCTTATTGCAAATGCATTACATGTACTAAATATTTACTTTATTTTTGTGGTTTGAAATAAACAGATTTATAATTTTTTAATACTAGATTTTCTATAAAAATTCCTTTATCATATATTTCAGTTTTTATTTTTAAAACGTGATAAGCATAAAATTTCATTTTTAAAACCCTTATAACCAAAAACTTTGTAATAAAGAAATGACCGCGTTAAAATATTTAATAATACATATTACTCTACTTAGATTGCCTATAAGTTCCCATTTATTTTTAAAGCGTTTAAAAATGACCCTCGCCTGAGAAATATTTTTAGTTTTTAAAATAAATTTCGACAAAATGCAATTTTTGAATGACATTCAAATGTGTTAAAACACAAATAAAAACTCAAAATTTGCAAATTTAAATGTATGGATAATTAGGTACGAAGAATTTTTGGCCCAGTGTTATTTATTTTTGTTTAAAAAGACTAAAAAAAATAAAATAAAAATTACTACATAAACCTAATCCGGCCCTGGTGATCGTAATTTCACCGTCATCATATAGCCGAGTCGGTCAAGTAAAGGAATACATTCCAGTTTATCTACCTGTTATTTTTATTCAACAACAGGTTATTTTTGTGGGCGAGCAAAGCGGCATGTCTGCTACAGTCTGAAGAAGCTCTTTAATACCAGAGAGCAAAAGATTAAATTTATAACAAATGCCTAATTAGATATTTATCTTTAAGTCAAATTAAAATATTTAATTTAGTAATATTGCATTTTAGTTGAGACACGGAAATATGAGTTTTAACTGCTAAAATAATGCATTTAAGCAAAACTAAGCAAATTTCATATAAAATGCATCAAAAATGCAATACTACAGAGTACCAGTACCACTTTTTATTAAATAAGATATAAAAAAATATACCTATTATTAATAGAATGTGCAATTTTGACAATTACCTAATACTTATTTACAATAATAATAATAATAATAACTTTATTAATTCAGTAGATAAAATTAAAATATAGGACAAGTCAACATAACAAATTACATTACATATATTACCTAAACCATTAACAAAATACAACATGCAATATAACTTAACCAAAAAAAATTATATCACCTCCTTAACACCCTGTATATTATTGAACTTATATATTATATGGTCTTATACTAAGGTGAAAATTAAAGTTATTCGTACCAAATTACACTCTTATCTCACTAGGTTTTGTAAATATTTAGAAAAAAACATTTTTAGGGGCGAACTTCAAGGTGCTCACTCTCTTAAAAGTAGTTTCTCGCACTATGTTTATACAACATTATTTTGAAAATTTCTACCATGTTTTTAACACCCTGTATATTATTGAACTATTGTCTTATATATCTTTTAATTTAATTTAACGACAATTTTTACATTTGTTTTTAAAAAGTAAATTTTTATGTATGTTTTCAATTAACTTTTATGGGATGTTAGCTACTTTTGTTTGGAAAATGGTTTTTGTTCATGTGTAACATTAATAAAATTATGTTTTTATACTGGGTGCTGGACAAACAGAAACCTTAACATTTGGGAATAAAAGTCAAGCGGTAAAAGTTTTTTTTTTTATTTTGTTTTCGATCTTGAATCGTTTCAGAGTTAATGTGTTAGATTAATAAACAACAATAATAATAAATTACATAATAAAGATAAAAAATCAGATGAAAAAATTACCAATTTTTATTTCCATACGTATCAGAAATAATATAAAATTAAAAAACAATCAATTCCGGTTAGCCTTCTATGAAAACAAATTAACAAACAGTTTATTTACAAAATTAAAAGATAAAACACCTCCCTTATTACAATCAAATTTAATATATAAAATACCATGTGCAGATATATAGGGATGACAAAACAATTTTTAAAAAACAGACTATACCAACACAAATATGACTGTGGAGATTCCAACAAGAACAAAAACACAGCTCTAGCTTAACATCAATTTAACATTTTAGAACTAATTAGAAATATTAAGTGAAATGATACAAATAACATTAAATAGGGGCCTCGGTGGCGCAGTGGGTTAGGCGACTATGCCGAGACAAACTGCGTCCGTAGGTATCGGGTTCGATCCCCGGTCACAGCCTTGGGTGTTGTGCGCGTTGAAAGTCGGTAGATGAGTCTAACTCATCGAGGACCGTGGTTCGGATTCCACGTTAAACAGTAGGTCCCGCTGAAGAACCGAACCTTATAGGCTTTGCCTGTTAGCTGGATAGGTTGATGGCGTTACTACTCTACTACTTTTAACATTAAATAACACAGTAAATTGTAAGATAGATAATCAAAATTTAAATACACAATACAACCATATCATTTAAATGTACAAGCAAAACACCTTTAAGGAAAAAGTAAAACGAATGAAAACTCTAAATAATTAATTCACCAGGTATATTCTAATATAAGTGCTGGGGTTATGTATTGCCAGTTCATTCGTTTGTTAGCGTTGCGAAAAATCGACCGTATACGTATATATTGGTGCTGCTGTTAATTTTATTTTTATTTTTACACATGGACTATATACTTTCATTATAAAAATAGGTAAGCTTATTTATGTGTTTTGGATTATTTAATTAATATGTGGTTTATTTAGTTGATGTGGAGAATTTTTGTTTGTTAACTCAATTAAAACTATATTTAAAGGGTTCTAGTTGTTACCTTTTGTTTTTGTTTTGTTATATTTATAGGAATTGATCTAAATCTAAATTATTTATATATGTATATACAGTATTATATTTACTATAACTTTATGTTTTTTATGTAATCTATTGAGAATGTCCATAGACTAATACGACTATTTTAACTCATTTTTAGCCTTGAGAAAGAAGATAAGAAAAAAAGGAAGTTGTTTTTATTTTACGTCCTAAAGCAACGAACCTTACTTCAAATAAAAGAAAAAATTTAAAGGATACTACACATCATTGCAATAAAACTAAACTTGAAAAAAAAACTGTGAGTGATGATTG